CCCCCCCCCCCCCCCCCCACCCAACAACAATTGTGTAACTATCACCCAGGCTGTACCTTTCTACATACCTACTTCTGTCTACGTCTATCTACGAGATGTGATTAAATTCCCTATAATGTGACATTAACCATGAAAGCAATAGTACCTTTAGCTCAACTGGTGCTGTGGATGGCTGGTTGACGCCGTAAGGGAAGATAGTTGCAATTGTCAGGTGCAAGCAGAATGAGAATTTACAGCTGTCGTCAAGAATGGGCCTTGAGCTCAATGCCTTGGAAGCGGTTTGTCAACCATTCCTCCGTTATGGCTTCACTGTGTATACTGTGACTCTTACCTAACCGACCTTTACTTACAAATTCCAAATAAACGCCCGAAGGGCCCTTTAAAGGAGGAGAAGAAGAAGAAGAAAAGAGTTCACAATGTGTGATCCAATTCTGTGAGAGTATCCGTGATCCTTTTTATATCATTTCTAGTACGATTTCAAGCTCCTCTTTTCATCCTTGTTTGATATCCTTCCATGCCCATGGCTTCCAACGCAAACTTGTTTGTCCCTGCTCGCACCCTCACGACAAGCCAACTTATTTCTGATGCTTGAAAATGATGCTACTGGGCCGCCTAAAGGCCTGTCAACAGTAGAAGACCCTCAGCCTGACTAACTAACCGAAGCAAGACTCTTGGAGGGTGATTACCGGCTCCTCGTCGTTCTGTCTGAAACATGGGGCTGAAAATAAACGCATTCCTTAGACGAAACCGTGAAGCCTAATATAATGGCGTTCGAGACGGTCAACAAGGGACGAAAAGAACAATGGCGATATGATGTGAAATGTGAAATGTGATACCGTCGTGTTTTCGCCAACCGCAAGACGCCAACCACAAAAAGCAAAAAGCGCCACTGCTCTTGTCCATTGTTATACAGAGCGGTACGCCAACCACCCCAGGCAATATACTGCCCAATTTGCTTTGCCGTATACCTCGTCATGGCCAACCAAGTTATATGGAACCAACCCATATGAAAGAAGGCAGTCAATGTGACTTTTTTCGGCTACCTCCAGGTTAAAACACCAGAGCCAGCGATAACAATAACCACCACAACCCTACTAGCTAGGAGTCATGAAACTAGCAGCGATCGGCGCGTTCGGGTTGGGCGAGCCGACACCAGAGGCGCCATCGTCCTGATTCTGGTCTTTGGTCATCGAACCGTTGAGCAACGGGCAGAGCCTAGAATGTCGGGGTTAAAAAAAGTGAAAACCGACGGAGCATAATGTGCGGACAACTTACTTCTTGTTTGTCTTGATATGGCCCTTGGCCCCACAATTTGCGCATCTGCGAGTGGTTCCAGTGGCTTTCTCAATCGAGGGCTCTAACGACCCGTCGTCGTTATCGAGGGGTAGAGTTCCTCCACTCTTGAGGCGCTGTTGTAGTTGTTTCTGCCTCTCGCGCTTCATTGTTCTCATTTTATTCTTCATGAGACGATCATGTTCCTTCTCGAGCCTGAAGAGCAATGTCAGTGTGCGGCCCTTTCTTTCAAGTACAATACGTAGAGGGTGACTAACAGCTCGAGAATAACGGCGTCCCGCTCTTGGTCACCTGTCATCTTAACATTGTAGATACTGCGAATAAAGTCAGTCATTGGTTCTTCTTCAAGTATTTATGGGAGGGAACCTACTCGATCTCGGACTTTTGCTCTTGGCGACGCCTCTTGACGTACTGAGCAATGACAGCAGGGTCCCTTACGACCTCTGTCACAGTCCGTGTTTGGCCATTTTCATCCCTCACCTCTCTTGTGATCACGAGCTTCTTCCGGTTAATAGCACTGGTGGCGCTCTGGCTAATCTGACTAAAACCGTCCTGGACCACAGGGGTTTGCGCGAATTGGCTGCCCTGTACGTTGAAACGCTCGTCTTCATCCTCTTGCCCAAGCACATCTTCATCATCGTGTTCTTGGGAATCCAAGAGACTCTCCCGCTGGCGGTTCCAGATATCGGTGAGAGCCTCGGTGTAGAGTGTGTCCTGGTTCTTGACGTTGTACATGTGCCCACCGTTCGCTTTGCGCTGCCTCTCAATGGCATCAGCTGATGTAGCCATTGGTCCTTGGAGCTGCTCAAGATAGCCGCCTTTCATGGACGTCCTCAGGAAACTGATGCCCAGTCCCTTGCCCGTCGGGTCGCCGGCGCCATGAACTGCAAGCATAGCCTTGCCATGACTGGCGTCAAGAAATGCCTTGGTAGTCTTCCAAGGCGCCATCTTGTTGGCAAGAGCATCTGGAGAGAGCTCATCGTTCACGTCAATCCCAATGTCATCGTCCTTGAGGGAATCGGTAGCATCATAACCACCCTTCTCGATCTCGTGCAAGCCCACTTGCATGGCGTCCAATAGGCAGACCTCTTCCGGCCTAACAAGAGATCGAATAGCCGGTTCGGCCATTAGCTCTTCGCCTTCGGGCAGCGCCCAATCTTTTGTTTCCTTTCTAAAGCGCAGAAACTCCTTCAACTTTTGACGATTCTGAGACTCGTTGGACTCAGCTACATGCTTGGTAATATCATGGAGGGTAACATGCTCGCTCTTGCGAAGTAGGCGATACGAGACCATCTTGAGACGGTTCTTGGCAATGTTAGTAACACGTCTGGAATGGGGCCCTGGGACTTCCATGGAGGGCAGGGTTTGGCCGACAACGTAAAGATGATCGATATTTCTGATGTACCAAGTTGAGCCTTTTTGGCCGGTACTGCTACGACCAATCAGGAAGTCTGTATTCCTCGGGTTATGCTTGAAAATAGGGGCGCGGAACATGTGGTTGTGAAGAGTAGGCACGACCTCGCCAGGGTGGACGTGACCGAAGATGGCGAAGGGTGAGCGATCTTCTGGCATCAATATACAAGTCTCGCCAAGCTCACGCTTCTCAGGTCTGCTATCAGCGCCTTTAGCTCGACGGAAGTAATTAATGATTTTCTGTCCCATGCCAAAGTTGGAGAGAACGGTAGGAATTTCCTCGCAGTACTCGAAAAGGATAGCGGTCGAGTTGTCGTTGAGGGAGAGGTCATGAGTACTCTTAAATACCTCGCTGACGCGTTTACCCTTGAGAGTCTTGCGCTTGATAATGGCAGGCTTGTCGAACCTGATGAGATACTGCAGATCCTTCTTAGGGTGGAGCTGAGGCCGATGATAACTATGAGGGTCACTGGCCGCGAGCTTGACGCGGTAGTAAGGCCAAGACAGTCTCTGCGCAGGCAAACTGTGCTCGACAGGAATAGTAGCCAACGTGGCCCGGACCCTATTCTGGCTGTTCTCCTTCAACGCGTCGTATGCCGCGTCAGAGGAGAAATTGAACCGCTGTATAAGGTCCCGCCCAGCTTTCCCGTTCGCCAAGCGGACCGTTTTATGTTGGGTCTTTCGCCGCTTAGATGACCGCTCAGATTCGACGTCGTCTATCAGCAAGTAAGGGTCGTTCATGTCAAGGATGACACGCTTGCCCAGCTTCGAAGTAACCTGCTCGAATTCGTCCAAATTTGGAGCCGTGAAGTGAGCAATAGGAGGAAGACCTTTAGGAATTTCGATCTTTCTCCGCTTTTGAGCAGGCTCATCGAGGAACATGGCATCCCAGTCCGCCTCTTCATCAGGCTCATCCTTAATGAGCATGTTGTCAGGTTTCGGCTGCGGTCCCGGCTCGATGGCAGCCGCAAGACTGTCGCCCAAGAAAATCATCTGTTCCCAGTCCTGACATATCGTAGCTATGTCCTGGAGGGTATATCCACCTATCCTCTCCGAATCCGTTTCGTCGTCCAAGCTAAATACTTCCAGATCGGTTTGTTCCAAAGGCTCCGGCTCTTCGAGACAGAACAGACCTCTCGCTTCCGCTTCCTTGATCCTCTGCCAAACGGAGCCAGTGGCAGGGCCCGGAATCCGGAACTGCTTTTCCTGATCGGCATCCAACTCTAGGCTGAGTTTTGATGGTATCAAGGGCTTGGGGGCTTTGGGGGGCTTTTTCGAGATCCATGTGGCATTCTTGGGCTTCAATAGTTCGTTCCAATGCAGGATGGCGTTCTCCTCAAAACCGGGGAATAGTTGCTTGACGGCGTCGATGAAGTTTTCTGCTGGCGGAGGAATGTCGGGATCTTGATTTGTCGCATGCGGCTCTTCGTCATTGTCGAAGTTGAGGTTCCGGAGGTCTTCGAGGGACTCCCCGGCGGCAGTATCCGGACGTTTTTTGGCATCGACATCGTCATGGACGTCGAGCGGCGGGGGAGAGGATCTCAGACCATCGTGGGCTGTGTCCATGGGCGATGAGGGGTCGCCGCCAAAGAGGTCGTCGTCATCATTAGTGCCGGCGTCGTCGATGAGGCTTGGCAGCTCGCCACTGGTGCCGGAAGTGCTCGGTTCGTCGTTGGGTAGCTCGTCCTCGTCGCTCAAGTCGATATCCTCAAAGTCGATGGCATCGTCTGCCTTGCCTCGTTGATCGATCTCGCCTCCCGACTGGAGGTTCCCCAACATTTCAGTCAGACCATCGTTACCACCCGGGCCGAAGCTGTTGTTGATCTGGCGAATGGCTTCCTCATCGCGGGCCTCCTGCTCCTTCCATCCTTCCTCATTGAGGGCGTTGAAATCAAAGTCGTCGTTGTCTGCGGGCATCTTGCCGGGCGGAGAGGCGATGCCGCCTCAGCGCTGTGTGTTGTCGTCTGTCGCGCAGTCGTCCGCCCGTCTCTCTCTTGCTCCCTCCAACGGTTGCGCGGCCGGTTAAGCTGTCAGATCATGATCCTGGAGCGGAGAAATCGTCGAGAATGCCCGCGGCGGGGGAGCAAACTGAACCAAGCGCGCGTTCGGTGTTGGTGGGGTGTTGGCAACGCCGCATGCAATTTTTGGTCGTGGTTGTGGCAGAGTCGAAATGGCCGTCGGGTGAGTCGAGGGTGAGGTTGACGTTGAGGTTGCAACGGTACCTAGTTGCGGAAGTTGCAAAAGTGTTGAACCTCCCACAAGCAAGGAAGCACACTGCCACTGCGCGGAATGCAAGCGTGCTCGAATGCGAACAACGAATCGGCCTGTCGGGGCCACTGCACGGCTACTCTAGGTACCTCTAAGTGGGTCCGTTGACCGGGCCCGGGTCTCGCAGTGTGACAGCCTACCTACCTATTCTAGATACCTACGTAGCGAGCAGCCCCAGGGCAGTGACTGGGGGGCGCTAAGTGCAGTGAATGGCTCGCGCACACTGTCCCTGGTGAAGCATAATAGCGTTGAACCTGGAACTTGCTTTGGGAATCTGGTAAGGAACCTGGAATAGAGGTAGTAGGTACAGGTAGAGGTAGGTATCCAATAAACCGTATAAACTTGGGGCGTTGATTTTCAACTTCCTAGGAAATCAGGCATAATCTGTAAGCATGCTGCCCGATTATGTGCATTTTATGCCCACCAAATTAATTGGAGGAGATATCCATGTTGCCACCCCTGAGCACGGTAAATTCGATGCTTCAATGTCCTGCCTCTTCACACCTATCTTTTCAAGAGCGCTGGAGGGCGGAGACATTCAAAATCACCGTCTTGCGTAGAATTTTCGGTGGGCATGAATGTTGCAGTATGCTTACTGCTTAGGCCTGATTTCCCAGAAAGTTGAAAATCAACGCCCCGAGTCTATACGGTATGCGACCTCACCTCCAACTTACCATCCAGGTAAAGTAAAGAATATGGAGGAAGAACTGAAGCTTCCCTGCCTTGTGTGACAACCAAATAAACGGCAGGCACAAAGAATAGGACTCCGTTGAAGGCGGGGAGACATGAATCGAGAGCGAGATCAAGTACTAATTGATTGATCTCTTACAACAGTAGAGTGACGCGTAAGTCCCGTCTCCCTCTCTGTTCGGGCCAAATGGCCACAATGTCACCCGCAACGTGGGGGGCAGAACACACTGGAACTGATGCGAGATGTCATTTCCAGTCTCACCGGATTCTCATTTCTTTGCAACCACACTCGCACGCCCATACCAGTGCTCAGCCCGTTTTTGGCATAACAGTGTGGATGTTATACCCTGCGAACTGGCAGGGCCACGAAGTTCAGCCACTGTACACTACCAATGGTGTTTTTGACGTACATTTGGAAACTGTGTTAAACCCACGGCCGAAGCCATGGTTACGTACTAGGCTGTCGGCAAAGCCAAAGCTACCTTAACCTACTAGAGGTACTATTCCTCCTTATTGAGATGACTGAATTAGGTGGTTGAAAGAATGTAACGAATCAGCCGATATTGTGGGCCACAGTCATACTGCGTCTAGCAGCTTCGTCATCGCCTTTTGCACCGTTTTCTTTACCTCGCACACCAAGTGAAGTTTCGAGGGCAAAAATACCACACTGCTCACCATGGCAAACCCCGTAATAGAAGAGTTGAAGCAAAAGCAAGATGCTCTACGGGCGAGGTTCGTCGGCAAGCAGCTGTCCGAGGTCCCTACGCCCAGCGTCGTCCTTGACCTCAAACAGGTCATGGTGAACTGTGAGCGCATGCTCGAAGCAGCCGAAAACCTTGGCCTACAATGGAGAGCTCATATCAAGACTCACAAGGTACTACAATGGATCATGACCCAGTAAAACGACAAAACAAAACTGTCACTGACAACTATAAACAACTTATAGACAACAGAGCTCACCCGCCTCCAAGTCGGAAACCACCTCACCACTCCCGTCCTGCTAATCGTCTCAACCATCCTTGAAGCCGAAAATATCACTCCCCTCCTCAAAGAATACCAATCCAAAGACCGCCATGTCAACGTTCTCTTCTCCTTCCCGCTCTTCGCATCCGCCGTCCCCCGTCTCACCGCCGTCTCTTCCCAGCTCGGCCCCGATGGCTTGTCCGTTATGATCGATCACGTCGATCAGCTCCCCTACGTCAAGGCCATCCACACTTCCTCAGGACACCCTCCCCGCGTGTTCATCAAAATCGACGTCAACTACGGCCGCGCCGGCGTCAAGACCGACTCTCCCGAGTACCCAGCTCTAGTCGACGTCCTCCTGGCTGCTGAGCGGGAAGGATGGTTGGTGCTGCATGGCTTGTATACACATGCCGGGCAGAGCTACGGGGCTCGCAAGCTCGGAGATGCTATGCATGTTCTTCACGCTGAATTCATTCACGCTCATAATGCTGCCCTGAAGATTCGCGAAAAGAGTCCGGACCATGCTCCTCTGGTGTTGTCGGTAGGTGCGACGCCAACGGCGACGACGATCCAGAGCCCTTGGTTTACGGGGGAGTGCGATGTGCACAGGGCAAACTCGAAGGGAAGCATGAGACCATTTGAGGAGGAGCTTAAGGAGTTGTGGGGCGGTTGGCAGAAGGAGGGATATGTGCTTGAGATTCATGCTGGTGTTTAGTGAGTTGGTCCTTTTCACCCTGGTGCTGGCTGACTTTTTTCTTCTATATACATGTGGCCTCATTGTGCTAACTCGGATCTTTCAGCCCGACCCTCGATCTCCAACAGGTCGCAACTCACGCACGACACATCGGTCTTCTTTCCGAAGAAGATATCGGCATCAGCGTAGTTGCCGAGGTCGCCTCCGGTATGCTAAACTCTCTCCATGGATCCCGTAACATTGCAGGATAGCTAATTTCCCCTGTCAAAAACAATAGTCTACCCAACCCGCGGTCAAAACTCAAAGCCTGAAGCCCTCATCAATGCCGGCTCTCTGGCCCTTGGCCGCGAGCCCGTGAGCCTAGACAAGCAAACGAGCAACAACGAGGAGACTGCCAAGCCGTACACTGGCTGGGGCGCCCTGATGCCCTGGGGCGTTCTAGCAGGAACGGAAGAAAAGGACAGGAGCGGAAAGATTCTCGGCGAGAGGTTTCCTAATGACTTTAGGGGCTGGCAGGTCGGCAAGATTAGCCAGGAGCACGGTATTTTGACTTGGGTAGGGGATGAAGGGAAGAAGGCGCCCGAACTTAAGGTGGGTGATAGGGTAAGGGTGTGGCCCAACCATGCTTGCATCATGGGGGCGGGGTTCGAGTACTATCTAATTATTGACTCGAATTGCCGGGGGCAGGAGGATAAGGTTCGCGATGTTTGGTGTAGATGGAATGGGTGGTAATTATTTACGAACGGGGTAAAGATTAAAGGGCTTCGGAAGCGAGGATAGAGAGGTCATAATCACCCAACTTCAACAGGTTAATTTCTGATTTTGATCCATGCATACAAATATGAAATATAGCTTTCCTACAAAGGCTACGTTACTATGCACTCTGGCGAGTTTGTGTCTCCTGAAAGTCACTGGAATATAGCTGTTGCATGTAAACAAAATGGGGTTGGCGTGGCAACCGCTATGGGCCGTCGTTTCCCCCTCCCCGTACCTCCAGCTTTGGCGTATCCGCGCTGTTGTCCAGGGCACCTACAGTTAGCTTCTGCTGTTAACGAACTGTCCCATCAGGGGCAACTTCCGAGCACTGGCGCGTTCACCACACTTCCTTGCAACCTACCTACAACCACAACACCTGAACTCCAACGTGATGACCACATCCAACACCATACATCACATCTCCAGTTATCGTTGCGCCAGGTCTTGAACAATTCACAAAGCCTCCGCTCCGAATCACAACCCAGCAAACGAATGACACGAGAATGCCCATAATATCGGAGGAAGAAGAGGAGGATGGCACGATGCTGTCCCACCCTTCGGAAGAAGACAACCACGATGATGGCTTGATGTCCGGAGACGAGGATTCTTACGACGAGGATGACATCTCGGACGACGACGGCGACGACGAGCACCTCGCGCCCCCACCGCCCGTCTCGCAACATACCTTTGCCCCTCCCTTCTACGGTCGCCCACCGACCCCTCTCCCACCCTCCCCCTCTTTAACCTCCCTGCTACGCCCCTCGCGTCCCACTACCCCGGACGCCTCCGACGACGAGACAGTAGCCAACGGCGGCGGTGGGGGTCCAGAGGGCAGCAACGAGCCCCTCCCGCGCGCCAGCCCTCGCGTACCCACGTACGAGTACTACGGCTTCGTCCTCTACCTCTTCAGCAGCCTGTCGTTTTTGATCTACCTACTATGGGCGTACCTGCCTTCGCCGTTCCTGCATGCGTTGGGCATCTACTACTACCCCAACCGGTGGTGGTCGCTGGCCATTCCGAGTTTTCTGACCATGACGCTGGTGTACATCTACGTGGCGCTGGCGGCTTACAATACCGAGTACCTCACGCTGCCGTTGGGATCGATTGAGACGATTGTGGATGAGGCAGCGCAGGTGGCGGTGGTGGACGGGAAGGGCCAGATCATTAGGCATGATAAGAAAGGTGGCGTCAGGGAGGAGAAGAGACAGTATGGGCACGGCTATGGACATGGGAGGCATGGGTCGACGGATAGGGAGGTGCTGTTACCGGGGGGAGGATTGAATTGGAGGGAGGTCTGGAATGAAGGGACGGATGCGGTGATGGATGTGCCACTGGCGGGAGTTTGTGAGGTTCTGTATGGAGAGGGGAGGGAGAAAGGGGTGGAGAGTGAGGAGGATGAGGAGGAGTATGAAGGAAAGGGGACGTTGCATAGTCCTGGGAATGGACTGGATGGCTCGAGAGTTGGTCGATGGAGTTGACACGGGGTTATGAAGGTCCTGAGACAGGATAGACACCTGATCTCTGCTGTTTTGTCCATTGTGAAATA